AAAAAAACAGATTTGCCCAACGTATTTTTGAGCGAAATTTATTTTGAAAGTCAATACGGCAGTTTTAATGCTGGTCAAAATCTAAGGTGGTCCTATTTCTTTTCTTTTTTTAAAGAACATTGGATACACTTCCTTTGAGTGTTTTCACAAATAGTATAAGAATAACCTTTGCTAGGGCAGAGTTATGCATTTTGAACCGGAGGGAATTAGCAGCAATAGAAGACCATGACCTAGCGGCTAGTAGTATTTTAAAAATGGTGGAGGCTTTGACGTTGTTGCTTTTGTTAACATGTTTGCAATAAATAATGTGATGTCCTCCGATCATGTTTCGATTTTTCTTGCTTATTGCTTTGTGAGCCGAAACTTTTTCCAAGGATTCTATCGGTTGAAAAGGCTAAAAAAAGCCAGAACTGAGAATTGTTCCAGACATTTTTTTCAGGGGATCAATATTAGACCCTGTTTCCACTGATAATTGTTCTGATAACTCTTTGCAACATCCTTCCAATCAACGTGCATCAGCAACATTTAAAAAGTGGTTGCTGAGGTGGTTGTTCTGAAACATCCCCTTGATTCATGATTGATTCTTAACAAGCAGCTGAAGACAGTGCAATTTTTGTGACTGAAAGAGAAGCAAGCAAAATTAAAGTGCAAAGCAGGAGAGAGGAACGATTTCCAGCACCATCCTCCTAACAGCGACGATGCAGACGGGGGAACTTGGAGAGCAGATCACTTTTAATAAGGGAAGTATCTAAAGTGCTTCTGGCACCAAATACTTTCACAGACTTAAGAAATGCATGGTATTAACACCATAATGTGGCTTTTCATTGGATCTAAATAGTCTGCGCCACACGTATGATGTTCACCCACACATCCTCTTTCTGCCAGGTGTGGATTAGCGTGGGTCTAAATCTGCATGGCCTGTGAGAGCCAATTCTCTCTTCTCCCTAAAGAACCCAGAACCCCTCACGCACCTACAAAACAGATGTCCAAACCAGATGCTTTGCACTGAGGCAACAGTTTAGACCTGCTCAGTTTGTTTTGATGTTCTCCAAATGCAGAGTATTGCACCCACAGCTTCCCTCAGAAACACTCCATGCCTAGAGGTGTGTGTGTGTGTGTTTTTAGCCTAATTAATAATCACGCTTTTTTATTTTATTTTGTTGCTCTGTTCTAACGACTAAATTAAAGAAGGCATAACTCCAAGATTAAACGTTCAGTCACCACTGAATACAACAGAGCAGTTGTTTCCTCATATTGCATTTCCTCAAACAGACACTATCAAGACCATAAAACAAACACTAAAACAAACAGAGGCTGCTTATGTTTTATTCAAAAGCAGTCCGGCAGCTATTTTTAAAACAAAAAGCAGAGGAAAAGGCGCTGAATGGCAGTAGGAGTGACGGTGAATGGCAGCTTTGCCCATTCCCCTTCTCTCCTCTCTCCATTAGCCTGTGCAGAACCAGCCGAGCGCGCGTTGCCAACAAGCAGCCGCTATGATTTCGGTGTGTTACATTCACTTTGGGCAGAGTGTTGACTTCAAATCATCAAAGTGCTCAGCAGCAGCCGAGCGAAATTGCCGTTCGGTACAAAACTCAAAATTGATCGTTCAGGGCATAACAGCTCAGAGACACTGAAAACCACATTGTTAAAAAAAAAAAATCACTCACATGATTTATTAAGAAGTGACATACAATTGTGTGCTGTGCATTTGTATTCATCCACCCTGAGTCAATAGTTTTCAGAGCTCACTGTCACCACAGTCTGAAAGTATTTGAGGTTTTTAACAGGCACTTCAAGGAGCTGAAATGTTCAAGTATCTCCATAGATTTTCAATTGTTTTTAGGTCAGAAGTGTGGGTCCTACACTTAATTTTCTCCGCGTCACTTTTTGTGGACGGCCATGTCTCCATGATGCTCTGCGTGTTGTTTTGAAAGCAATGTTTTTATTTCCCGTTTCACAGCCATGTCCCCGCTTTCCTCAGCCTGCCATGTTAAAACCTCAGAAACTCATGTTGGTAGCTGTTCCATGACAAACTGTGAAAGGTGAAGAACTTCATGACAATTGTATCGGTTTTAAGTGGAACTGAACGGACCTCATCTCCCCGTACTGAACATTATTTGTTGAGTGAAATAAACACACCATTTCCACAGAACCCTCCAGTAGGTAGGTTCACTCACTCAAACCTCAATCTATTGTTTTTCCGGCTAGGTTAAGCTGGCCGGCTCAAATTTTTCTGTTCAAATCAAGCATTGAAAAACATGAGGCGAGCCCGTGTCTTTTTGATAACAAAGTACCAAACTTGGGCAGGAACATCAATGGAAAAACATAGAAAGACTAAAACATTACAAAGAGCAAAAAAAAAAAAAACTGTAAAGCAATGAAAAGCAACTTTCTGTTTGTTGTTTCCCCCCAAGAGCAAGGATAAAGATCCGTATTTGCATATTCTCACTCAGCAACACAGCAAACGCAGAAAGAAACTTGCCAGAGGTCCAGAAATGTTTTAATTATAAATGACTGAATTAAGAAAAAAAGACGCCTTAATTCTCTCATGTGGAATTAAGGCGAATTAGCCGTATGCGCGAATGGAGATAAAAAAATGTAAAAAGTGCTACTGTGCGTGTGTAGAGCCTTTCTCATTTCTAATTTGTCACCTTACACTTTTAGCTAAACTGTGAGTCTTCCACACCGAGAAAACCTGGTTCTGCTCATCATGTTCCAACCGATAAGTTGAAAAGTTGAAAAGCAGACACGGTTTCACAACGTTGCCCAACGAGTGCTGTTGCCGACAACGAAACGACGCAACTCTTTCACAGGCCTGCTTTACACAAGCTGCTGTCTTTCATAAACCTTTCGCTGGAACAGTGTTGCCACCTGACTTGCACATTCGCCCCAGAGAAGGGGAAGTTCAGCGACACAAGAGTAACTAACGCACATGCAAGTCATGCAGCCGCCTTGGCTAAATTTCTTTCTTTTAACAGGAGAAATGAATCGTCAGAGGCAAAATCACTGCTCAGGTGGCACTTCAATACAGGCTGCATATGAAGGAGCAAGCCAAGTCTTTTGATTCGCGAGTCAAACATGGATGCTGGTTAGCGGGGATAAACATGAGGAAGGAAAGGGGGATTTTTGTGACACATGACGTCCTGTCACGTCCTTGAGTGTGAATTTTTATAAGTGCAGGGAACATAGAGCGAGATGAAGCACACTTTTTATAAGGTCTTGGCTCTGATATTGGAGTTACATCAATTCTACGGCAGTGCAGCCAAATCTCTGCCTTTTTGTGCTTCACAAATAGATTGAAGGTTTCATTAATATCAAATCTCTCTTCAGTATGGAATTAGCAGGTTCAGTTTAGGCCACTAAACATATTTTGGATTTTTGGACAAGAGGCACACAACTGCAGTCCATTAGTAGAGCACTGCTGACAATTAGCTCCCAACTAAATGTTGGTGGCTAATGGTAAGCTACTGGTTACGATATTGCAATGTTTTTGCTTATTTCTACCCAAAATGCTTCCACTTGAAGGAGCTTTTTGAAAGCTTTCGTCGCTGAATGTCGTCTGTCAGGCTGATGGTGTCTTTATTCGTCACGTTCAACATCCAAATGGACAAGAACTACTTCCTGTCTTCCTTCAAGCTATAGTCTCAAACACAGACACAAGAAATATGTGTTTGATGAAAAATAACGCTGCAAAATGAACCCAAAGCTCTTTGGTCCTTCTGGATGCCATCCTATTTAACATGTACATAGACATTTAAAGTCATAGAACGTTGCTGTGTCTGACCATCCGCATCGGAGAAGCCTGTAGCGCGCTATCGTCAGCTAAACGCTGCTATTTCTAATTAAACCTCTGGGGAACTTCTTGTGGCCAGCGTCAGGGCTGTCAAGAGAGCCGCAGACACTTTCTCAGCCCTGCAAATCAAGGATAAGAGCCTTTTACAAGTAATGAACCAGAGGCCCCGCTTTTTAAACCCTTGTAAAGCCAGCAGGCTGGGGCATTTTCACTTTAATGAGAGGAAGCGATTGAACCTGCTGGGTCACGTTGTTGCTTTTCAGTGTCTACTGGTAGAAGTAGGAAACACTGAATGCCACAATTGAATAGCTATGATATTGTGTCGTACTGGTGTTTGCTAAGCAAGCACATAAGGTGGCTTCAAAATAAAATCACTTTTTTTTTCACGAGACACCAGTATCGATTTTAATTGACTTTATTTTCTAAAAAAATAAATTACAAATGACAAAAAATATTGAAAACAGTGGCTTTTGTTTCAATCATGGAGTTTTAGGGGCAGATTGCAAGAATTTATCTTTGATTATGAGGATATTGTCACAACATAAGCAGAATAAAAATGAAATTTTACCAGTGGAATGTCTTAGAATTACAAGAGAAAGTTCTTTTGATTAGGAGAAAAAGCTTGAATAATATTTTTTTACATTTATTTTTCATGTTGGTGTTTTCATCAAATGATTCCTTAGTTCTCCAAAAGTTATGACTTTATTATGCTAGACTCTTTTGTATTATTTCGACTTTACCATCATAAAAATAATAACGTCATTGTAATGTCGAATTGACCTGAACTGAAAGCCCAGATAAATAGAAGCTCTTGTCAAACAAGAAGGTGGGATCTGGGCTTGCTGACATCACCTTGGTGGAAAAACAAACTCCAATTGTCCAAAACTTGAATCTTCAAAAATCTACATTTTTATTAATTAATCAAATTAATTTAATGTCCAGACCTAATAGACGGAATGTTTTTACACATCAATACTTTCACTGTAAATTTAAATCTGAAATTATGTGGTGAAAAGAGAGCTCTTTCACCTACTAGTAAAGTAAAAGCTGCTTTTTTGCTTCCACACACACACACAAAGGCTCGCTTGTCTTATGCAGCGCATCTTTAGGGACAGCTGGCGTGCACGGTGGGGAAGGAGGCAGCCTTCATTTACCAAAAACCAAGCCAAAATGTCACCGTATGACTGCCGGCAAGTGCCTCCCTTACCTTGGCAAAGTTCCTGACATCAAAAAGGTCAAAGGCGTCGAACAGTTCGCTCTTCTTCATTCCGAAAGAGTCGCTGCACGCCGCCAGGAACGTCCGGATATTCTTCAGGCACAGGAACTGCATTAGGAGGACAAAAAAAATTAAAATAAAATACAAAACAGTTAATCGCTGTGTGGCTCCCAATCAACAAAGGAGCTGTGTGGCATTAATAAATGATCTAGCCCGTTATTATTCTATTATGTCTCACTTTCTTTGCTGACGGGTATTCACATGTGCTGGAGCCGCTCTGCTAGTTTTGCCTGTGAATTTCAATGTGACTGTCTAATTAGACAATGTAAAAGGATGCAGCCTCTGAGTGTTTGTAGCCAACATGAGAGCATTTTGTTTTATTGGAATAATAAAACAAAAAGTCATACGAGGGCACCGGAGTAGTGTGGTACAGTAAGAAAAGTTTGACGCATAACCCCAATTTCAAGTTGTAAAGCGTAAAACAAATGGATCCAAATAAGCTTCATCCGTGTCTGTCATCAGAACTATTTTTGTTGGCTTTAAAAAAGAAGTGTGACATTTACGACTGTGTAATGGACCAATTGTTTAGCAGTTTTTAGACTGACTTGCTTATCTGTCGTTCAAATGGTTTCATGTAAATGAAGTAATAAGGTGAATTTTTAGTGTTTGAATCGTTGCAGTGGCAAAGGCATTGGTAAAAAATAACACAAAAATTACAGTAGCATCTTTTTCACAATAAGTATCTCACCACCGCACTATGCCACTGTATAGGCAGTCAATGTGAAATGCCAAAAAAGTTAAGTTCTCAAAATTGAAAAAAAGCTTGTGAAAAGAATCTGTTCTTGCAAATATTGGAAATACAAACTCATCTGACGCTGATTGAAAAATGATGAAAATGAGACAAGTCTGTAAAAGAATCCAAAATGTTCTCATTTCAATCAGACTGGAGGTCTTACAAGGATATTATTGTTCAGTTTCATTATAAAGTAGTCAGATTTTTGAGAGGAGGAGACGGTCAATGTCTCATAACCAAACACAAAACACATCTAAATAATATCTAACATGAAGAGGATAACTCAGCAAAGATACTTCGAGGTTTTAGTCCAACCTAAAACCTGGACTCTGAACTTGGCCGAGAGCTGGCCACATTAAACCAGAAGCATCGGCACTAAAGCCAAGGGCCAAAATCCATCCTCTCTGAGCTAATTCACATTCTTCAGAGCTGCAGCCAGGGTTAACAGGAATGTAGTGTGCAGTTGGCCAACACGCGACTTCCCGTAAAATAAAAGCCAGAAGCTCGCCTCTGCTGATAGACTGGTTGGAGGGGAATTGTGGTATTTTTTTTTTTTTGCTCCACTTCTCTGCCTCTGCTGGATCGCCTTTGACGGATGACTTCATCCTTGGGTGTAACCAACCAACAACGTGTTTGTGGCGTTTTCCCCACTGCGTTTGCTACAGCCGTTTTAAACTGTGCCATGATAAAACAAGAGTATTGCGGGGAGCAAAGAGAGAGAGAGGATGTCGCTGTAAAGTCTTACAGCTTATCAGCGGCGGTTCGATGGCTGTGGCTCTGTGGGGAGCAGTTCACTGTACCTAGAAGACATCTGAATAATAGAAAGGACTTTCAATTTTGGCCACATCGTACTGTTTTAATGCAGATATTAGTTTAATTTAATATATTATTAAAAGTGGAGGCAGTTCAGCTCCAAATTAGGTGCTTCAAAATGTGTTTGGGGACCAATTTCAGAGTCCGAGGGGTTTTTAGAGAGTCGTAGTCGAGGAATTATCCCCACCACCTCTGTTCCTGCGCCACCACAACAATCTTTAGAGATCTAAGCCCGTATGGACTTTTTTCAGACATAATTTCTCTCATTAGGAACTCTCCAATTAACTTCTTTCTGGTTGCAGTTCTTCGGGATTGTTCTTCAGCAAGAAAAAAAGACAGAGAGAGAGAAAGAAAAGCTCTTCCAGGAAATAGATTTCATTGGCAATTTCCTGTTTCTCAAGCAAGAGGTCATGCTGAGGTGTCCATATTTAGAGAACTTATTAAGTTTGACTGTTTAGGAGGAAAATAAGTCAGCAAGTGTCAAATCAGGAAGCAGCCACGCCTATTTTATTATATACTGGAGCAGAATTTTATTTATTTTTTGGGGAGGGGCTTGGAGGTTTAACTTTTTCATGATAAATGTAAAATATCTCCCAAAAACAACTGAATTACACTTTAGCAGATGGATTGTAAACCACCCCGAGACACCAGATAAGCGTGAATCAGCAAACAAAAAGTCAAGCGGATATTATTGAATGTTTACACTTGTAAACATCACTTGCTTTTATCAGACAAGCACATCTTGTCTGCCCGGGGCCTCCGGAGTGTCCCAAAGGACGTCAGTGTATTATCTGAGGGAAGCAGCTTCTCAGAGCGCAACGAATATGAAAGACAGCGTGTCATCTGCACCGAGCCAAAGACTGAAGATCGGGGGGTGGAGGAGGGATCGCATTAAAAAGGGATGTTGCAGCGTGAGGCAAACCTCTAACTGTTCCACATGCAGCTTTCCTTTGACGTGAAGGGACTCTCTGGGGCTCACCAGCTGAACGGCCGAGTGGGTCGCGTGGACGCGCGAAGCCGCTGTTGGTACGAGCCAAATCTGTCTGAAGTAGAATCCAATGGTGAAGGGATTTTTTTGATTTCACTTTTCTTGGATAAACAAAGGGATTACGATGGAAGCCGGAACATTCATGTACGCAGCTGAAACTAGACTTTTACACCGAGTAAAAAGACACGTGGACTTTTATTTTCTCACCATCTGAAGCTAAATGAGACCAAACATCTCTTGTTTTAGGTCAGTTCAGATGACCAAACTTATCAATGCCACAATAATCAGAGAGAGAACTAATGCTACTAATAATAATAACAACATGGTGGAGGTGAGATTAAGGAAGTTTCCTCTCGAATAGCTAGAATCTGAAAATGCGAAACACCCTCTTGAAAAGTGTTTGTGTGTTAGTACGCACAGTGGAAACAGTTTGGCACTGAGCTAATGTCTACAGCATGTCAAGCAGCTTTGCATCAAAGTATTTCAGCTTCCCAAGCTGCATTCTCTTATGCTACTGCTGCTTTTAGCAGTAGCATAAATAATGTTAGAAATGTTTGTATAAATACTTTGTGTCAATGGTATATTTACTCGAGGGTATCACACCATGAGAATCTCATAGCATTCCATTCTTACTAAGATAAGATCAATAACTGAGTTACTAATATGGGAACTATCGAAAGCTGATAAGACTTTTAGTGAAGTCATAAAGGCAAAACAATGGGGAACTTTTCCATTTTAGAAACAAACGCCTTCAACATTGTGCTACACGGTGTGAGACTGATTGTTTTTCAGGTCTCAAGCTCTTTATGCAAAAAAAGAACTTCATCCGTCAAGCAGTGTCTGTAGACCTCACAGCCACAATTATTGGCCGGCGATCCGAGAAAAGGGCCCGTTTTTGTCTCCCGATGCAACCAGCCTTCTTCGTACACAAGGAGATTTGGATTTTATTTAGATAACAGAGTCACCGTCCCACTGGAGTCTGCAGAACGCATCCTGAGATGTACCCAATGAAAAGGAATGAAAGAACAACGTGTGCAGGAACCCCCCAAAAAATAAAAACTCTCACCCGCAACACATTTCATTTTCAAAGCAGAGAGAACAGTCCTATAAGGGGAGCTCGCTCGTTGGACACGAGGCCGTGCTCTGTTTCTGTAATATCCATAATAACCATCCCAGTTTCTGCTTATGTATTCTTTGACACAAGTCAAAGCTCCATAGCAACAAGCTGGGAGCTTTTATGGCCCCAGTGTGTGCTGCACGGCACAATGAAATCCTGTCCTCTCGCGGATGTGCGCTCGTGAAAAACAGCAAAGACAAGTTTGGCCTCCTTACTGCTCGAATCTCATTGATAATTAATTAATGAGCATAAATGGACGCGAAGGGATTTCAAGCCAGATTTGGCGAGGCTTTCAGTCTCACTGCTGATCCCGGAGACGTTGGATGTTTACATTCTGCTCTTAAACGCCACATGATGGAGCTTTTTTACAGACATATTGCAGGTCGGTCACATCCATGTGATGTAGGAGCTTTTTGTCGGCCGTGTAACCGGAGGTGGAGGGTGAGAGAGGTTCTGCTGACGCCGACGAAAACGCTGCCCTCTCCCTTCATGCTGAAGACACTCATCATCTCACTTATCTTCAAAGAATAATGTCAACATTAAGCAGCAGTCAGCAGCTTTGTCACTCCAAAAATATACCGCGGCAACTGATTTCACGCGTCATTCTGAGGAAAAACCCACAGACTTGAGGCGTAGCAGCAGCAGCAGCGGCGGCACATGACTGGAAAACACTCAACAGCTGCTCGTTTTTGTCACTTTTTCCATTCATTCACGACTGCCTGCACGCACAGTTCCTGACACCTTTTTTTTCTTCTTCTTTCTTTGTTTCTTTTCTTCTTTTTTTTTTTTGTTTGGCTTTTCACAATTTCTGTAAGTGGCAATTTTTTTTCTCAAGAGTTTCACGCTCTGGCTACCGGCCGCTTTAGGAATAGAAAATAATTGGCTCCCAAAGTCGGTCTGTGTTCGGTTCAGATCAAAATTATTCATATCGTTGGGAGGATTTGCACTTTAAGTTATTATAATTCAACCGAGGCATTTGGTGTCCGGGAGGAAGTGAAATCTCAGTCAAAAATCCAATCTAAACTACTTTTTTTTTTTATATAATTACGTTATTTGCTTTTTTCTTTACTGAAATAAATTTCCTATGATCCTTGGCAGAGGTGAAATGTGCAGACACTGAACATGTTTTGTAGCCATATTCCTTAATCAAATGAATTAATGTTATTATTAAAGATGTTAGAAACTTTCCAGAAACTCAAAGGGAACAAAAGACTGCATACCATCAGATAATAAATAAATAAATAAATAAATAAAACTCTCTCTTGCTTTAATAGATTTTAAATTGATTAATTGACTATCAACACAACAGTATATATATATGTCCTTTCTTACTTCAAAATAAGAGTCTGAAATGTGCAAACAACAAATAATCAAGCTTCAGCCCGTTACCTTCATGT